GAATTTCTTAGATGAAGCATTGGCAATTATTATTCATTTTTGACTAGAAATTTTTTTATCTTATTTCTCTTGCTTTTATATCAAATAGTAATAGTCTTAAGTTGTCTGAATTTCTTCGATGAAAACAGTGCAGAAGATTCAGAAACAGCTAGATAAGACTGATAGTGATTACAAAGGTACAGCAGCACGTAAAACTCACTCTGATTGTTCTGATAAGAAAAGAACAAAAAGTTGGTGAGGGCCTCTGACTCAACATGGATACCTACATCAATTGCCTTGAGAAGGTAGTGCTGCCCTGGGTCAAGAGGGTGGCTGCTAGATGACTTTATGTATGGCAACAGAACTCAAGCCACACAAGCAGGAGGACCCAGTCACGGTTGTCAGACAATTTCTGCAACCACATCACCCCTTACATCATGCCACCTAACTCCCCAGGCTTATTATTGAGCGAGAGACCAACAAAACCCCTTGTAACACCAAGGATAAACTGAAGGCAAGGATTAAACAAGGAAACCATCCAGAAGTATTGCAGGAGATTCCGTAGTTGTCTGGAGGCTGTAGTTGAAGCCAATGGCGATTTTATTGAATAAATTTACTCTGTAGTATTTCAAGCTATTTTTTGTAATTTTGGTAAATATATCTGTGAAAATGAGATGTCAGTGTTATTTTCATTTTTGTGTAATATAGACGACAATTTATCTGTCGCACTATATATGTATAGTGTGACAGATAAATTGTATATGGACCTACTAGACAGTCACCTACAATTCCAGCCCACATTAATCATAAACTGATACTTATCAGAATGATCAGTGTGAGTTTTCTGAGCTGCTGTACCTTTTTAATCAGTATAAGTAATATGTTTGTCATTTAGTTAAATGATGTTACCTTCAGCATCCTGAGTTTGTTTTGTAAACAGACAGTCTGGGGATTGCACTGCCCACTCCTCAATTGACTGCTTATACTTTCTGATTTTTCTTTTTTATATGCACTTTTCATTCATGTAAGTTTATTCTTTCTTTCTTTCTTTCTTTTTTTTTTGTAAATATCACCTATTGGATGGTGGTGTTAATAAAATAGTGCTTGATGTATAATAACAGGGCTATAGTTTATATTAATAATAAATATACGTTTTTTTCTCACTGGTGTAACACAACTCTCATTCAGCACCTGATGATTGCACATGAAACTCCAATTTGTGCTACCAGTGAAGAAAAAAAAGGTGTGTGTGTGTATATATATATGATAAAAAATATACATATTCGCATATATACTTGCCCTATATACAAGAAAGTGTTATAAAAACAATGCTCAATGTTATATAACAGAACTATTAGTATATATATATATATATATATATATATATATATATATATATATATATATATACTAGCAGTAGAGCCCGGCATTGGGGATGTATGTAACAGTAAGAGATAGATCAAGTATCGACCATCATAAAGACTGAAAAATAAAATTGACAAAGATTATTGTTTAACGATGATGGACACGTATGTCTTAATTAGTTTTTTTTTTTTTCTTACAAATTGGTCAAACTCAAACAAAAACATTGTTTTCAATCGTTATGAGTCTACCAATTGAATAGAATTTTATTATAAACAATTGTCTTGTAAATGAAATTGTTAAAGCATTCTGAATGTAAAAATAAAGAAAAAAGTATGCATGACAATAAGAAACACCACCTGCCAAAAAAAAAGTTAAGTTTTGTTGAAATCGGTTGAAAAATGTAAGAAATCCATATATGAACGAACACACACAAACAACCTGGGTTTTATAAGTATAACTTGATATGAGTTGTCCCCCTTTCATTCTGGCGACAGTGATGCCTCTTAATTGTGTTTTCAAATTGATTTCTTGCAAAAACAATTGTTTTTCCAATTTTTGGCGCTGTCAGAACTACCGCAAGGTAATTTTACGTAGTCCTGTGAAGTTTTGTTGAAATCGGTTGAAAAATGTAGGAAATCTGATCCAATATATAAATGAATAGACACACACACACACAACCTGGGTTTTATAATAAGTATGATGTATGTATGTATGAAAGAAATCCGAGAAATAAAAGAACAACAAAATTAATAATATTGACAATAAGACTAATAATATTTATATAGTATATTAGTAGGCCTTTATATCAAATAGAAGTATGTTGAAAAAAGATGTAAAAAATGGGAATTTTGGGACACACATGTGTCCTTTGTCAGTAAAAAATAAAAATGAAGTTGGATTGCTGGGTGGGGTCAGCATGTATTACTGCTGAGATCTAGTAGTTTTGGACTAGTTTTTAGCCATGATTATGGTTGTAGACGGTTTAGAAGATTTTTGTTAAAACTCTATTCATGGAGTAAGACTAAATTTCTGTTTAATCTGAAAATGTGTGAATTTATTTTAAAAATGTATTTTAACTCAAACTTTTTGCATTGTTATTGGCATTTAAATGAAAACACTAAAATGACACATCTAACATTATCAGTTCTATGGTTTGCTCAGTTGAAATGTGCAGCATCAATGAAATTGATGCTGTTGTCTTTGATAGTTTTCTTATGGTTATTAAACTGAAGATGGAATTCTGTATCTGTTTCACTGATATAATTTCCTGTTCTGCATTTGCGGCAAAAAGGTAAATGTATTTGAACTATCAAAAGTCAAGGGAAGAGGTTGAATTAACGTATATAAAAGTGTACACAGGTCAATACCAAGCAGTGACAGCTTGTTACATGCCTGAATGCAGTCTTTAGGTGTGAAGATTGTGTTCGAGTATGAAACACAGTTGAAGCTTATGTTGACCTCAGTATCCATTTTATATTTACAAACACTCTATCCTAAATAATGACCAATTCATTTAAATATATATATATATATATATATATATATATATATATATATATAAATAAAAACAAAAAGAACAGTAAGATATATAATCCGTTGTTCTTATAGATATTTTTATTTTTACAAAATAGTGCTCAATGTAAATTTATCAGAGGATTAATAGTTATAAATTAATTGATTTAAAATAAAATGTTTTTTTTTCACAGTTCTAAGCATGAAACATGGTTAGAACTGTGAAATAAAATTCCTATTTTAAATCATATTAATTTATAATATATATATATTTTTTTTTTTTTTTTTTTTGAGATAATAATGATTTATTGATACAAATCTTACTAATTATGGAAAAGCTGCATGGAAAAGAGGTGGATTCACACTTTCCAAAAGGTATTTGTGTGTAAATGAATATAATGAATTCAACTGAAACTGGAACAACTCAAAATATGCAAATGATAATGGTCATGGAATAGCAAACTTCTATGGAAACAAAACAGGATATCATCTTTGATGGTGAACATCTCTGTTGTAATATTGTCCATATAACCACTCTGATGATAGCCCATGTGAGCAAAAATCTTAGATTGACAACAACCAATATAATAAAGAAATATCCAAATTTTGGACAGTTTTTGTCTTTATTTTCTGTTGAAATTAAAGCCATTATATAATGCTTGGAAAGGCTCATGATAAAACATAATAGACATTTGTTGTCTGTTATATTTAATAATACATGTTTGGACAATATATATTCTTACATATATATATATATATATATATATATATATATATATATACTTATATGGTGACTTGGCTGCTTTTGGTCTGGAAATTCAATCGGATACAGCCACACACCTATTGCCCAGCCATATGTGGAAATTAAATCTGCCTGCTCTTGATATGTATATCCTGCCAATGTTAAATGGAACACTTCTCAGTTAACTCACTACTATACATGTTGAAGACAGACTAGCCACAAATGTACATGAATGACCAATGTAACCTCGTCTAGATGGCAACATAGCATCATCTACTGTATACTTTCATTAAACTTAATAATTAAAAAGTAAAGGATTTGTGACATAAGCTTACATGGACTTCTGTCCTTGGTTTGGTGTGAGGAATCCAGCCCCCAAATTTTGTAAAATATTTTTGATACACCCTGTGTGTGCATGTGCATGTGTGTGTATGTTTGTATATATATATATATATATATATATATATATATATATATATATATATATATATATATATACAATTAAATAAATTACAGAAATTATGTCTGCTAATTTTTAATAAAATCCATTCATACTTATGGATAACCTTCTGTGTATTGATGTTAAAGGATAAGAGAAATGTGCTATAGCTGTTTAAATTTCTTTTATTTTCATTTCCCAAGTACCTTCAATCTTCTTCCGAGATCATCTTCAGGGGTTCAAATGGTACAAAACTATATGTTGTTCATTAGTATATGTATTTATATAAAGATGTGCGTTGTTATCCATTACTGTAATATTTTTCATTATGCTTTTAAATGCAAAACGATTGACAATGTGCAGAGCGTTCATTAGAACGTGAAAAAATTATCCATTATGGAATTTTTCTCTTTATGTTATAATGCCATGGTCACGCGTGCATTAAAGCATGAAAAAACTGTTCCTTTATAGGCATTTCAGAACATTACTGCAGTATTCATAGTTGAATCTGTTCATCATCATCTTTAATTTTTAATATAAATTGCTTCTAGTATTTGTAATCTAGATTTGTTGTTTTCATTGTGTAGTATAGTTGTGTTGTTGATTAGTAATTTTTTTATATTGTGAATGTGGACAGGAATGTTTAGATGTCTATATTACAATCAATATGTGAAATGATTCCTCATTTTGTGGCCAGTGTAGTTTCTATACAATTATATTCCAGAGAATGTAAATAAATATAAAGGACATGCCTGTGTAGCTAATCAGTATTTGATTGATTGATTCATTTTCTACAGCTTATAAAACCAATACAGGTTATTTAAAGCCAGAAAATATTTTTTTGATTGTAAGAATTTTCCCAAGTATATTTGCAAGTAAGTAACAAACCCAATGGGAATTGGAACTTGGCTCTCTGATTAACAATTCCAAGCCATTATCCATTATACCACCCATGCAGCCAGGCTTACCACACCTGGTATTCTCAAGCAGTCACCTGTCTAGGTACTGACCAGGCTCAACGTTGCTTAACTTTAGTGATCATATGGGAAGTAATGTTTGAATGTGATGTGGCCATAAGCCATGAACATTTATTAGTACTTGAAAAAATATGAACTTTTCAACCAGGGAATTATAAACATTTTGTAAATAAAATTTTAAAATTTCAAAGCTTTTTGTGCTGGGTCTTGAGTTGCTTTTGAAGGATCAAACACACAATAATTTTTGAAAAATGTATTTGACAATTATAAAGCAACATTAAGCCTGGTCAGTTAGTAGGTGGTTGGCCACTTAAATATCAGGTGCTGTAAGCTTGGATGTGCAAATTGGAAATTGGAGACTTGAATTTGATTTTTCAGTCAAGTTCATTACAACATGGCCATCCATGCTCGATCCAGGATCCTTCTCATGCTGGTTAGTACTGGTGCTGGTCAACTGATGGCTATCTATTGACTGCGTCATTTCTTCATCTGCTCTTCCCATGTTGTGTTCTTTGCTCAGTGCAGCAAATATCGAATTTTCATCTATACATAAGTGCTGAATTGAATTGTGGCAGAACCATTTTATGAAAAGGACAACGAACATTTCCACTCATGAAAATACAATTATCATAACAAATAATGAAGAAGGTTGATGGGTTAATTTTCCATTGATTTATATAATTGTCAATAAAACAAAATTAACCCTTCCTGTTAAACTCTATCGTGACACTGTATCTCTTGCTTCTAAAACTTGGTTAATGTTATATAGGAATAAAGTGTTGCTGCTGACACTGGAGTTTGAACACAGATCACCAGAGAGCAAACACAGGCAATCCCATTTTGAATAAGTAGATCATGTAATGGTAAAGGATATGTATATATGGGAATTAGCATGGTGTCTAAGTGATCATTATGGATTACTATTTGGATCACTAATCAGCGGTTACTATTCGAGTGAGTATTATTGAGCAAGTACTATTAGTGCGAGTGTTATTCAAAGATGTCTGACACCAGTATTGTTCAATGGCATTACTATAGTTGTAATCTGCAATTACAAATTCTCTACTACAATGAACATTACAAAAGTAACAATGAGTATTCATTGACATTACAAAAGTGGCAATGAGTGTTTATTGACATCACAAAAGTTAAACATTCATATGAAATAGTTGTCAGGAATTCTTGGAGACATGACATTGACCCTCAAATTCCAGATCTCACCCTTGGCAACTTTTTCCATTTCAAAAATCAAATCCCACTTGAAAGGAACAAGATTTCAAAACATTGAAAAAATTCAAGAGAATGCAACGAGGCATCTGCTTGCTATCCCAAAGAAGGAGTTCCAGGAATGTTTCCATCAATGGAAACAATACTGGATAAAGTGTGTGGCTTCAGAAGAAGACTACTTCAAAACAGATTAAATGTTGGATTGATATGTGTTGCAGTTCTCTTTTTATAGCACCAATCCTGATATATTTTAATCAGGCCTAGTAATTTTACTTCATTTTGTTTATACACTTGAGAGACAATTTTGTTCAGAATTTTTGAGGTGAGGAATTATATCCATCGTTATTTAGACCATGATGCTCATATTGCTTTTTTATACTCACAATGTTTTGGCCATTGTATTCACTGGACTTATTCAGGTGTCAGTCATCATTCTCAGTAGACATTGAAATTTAAATCTAAACCCCTTATTCAATCTGCACATGATAGATTTGAGTTCAGTTCCTGACTCTGTTAGTATGAAAAGTTGCATATTTGAGTTCAATTGAATGAATGGACAAACAATACAGAGGTTAATAAAACTAGTTAGTATTAATCAATATAACATAACCCCTTAGCTTAGAAAGTAGAATGAGAACAATGAAACCCCCATGGATTGAATTATTGTTTCAGTTTAAAATTCCAAGAAGGTTACTGAAAAGACATATGTGAAGAAGGCCAGAGGTTATAATGTCTGAAGCATTGTGTTTATAAAAACCAAAATGAGCATGCTGGTCTGAATAGCAAAGCATATAATAAGAGAGAGACACTTGAAGAAGGCCTGAGGGTACAATGGCCTAAACATTATGAGCATAACAACCAAGATGAACATGCTGATCCAAATAGCAGAAGCATATAATTTGAGAAACTGTTTTCATTCCCTCCCTTTCAATACTTTGATTGTTCAGTAAACATAAAATGTTATTGATTTGTTAATGTTTTTCTTCATCCAGTTTCAATCTGGTTCAACTAATCATTGACCCAGAACTCTCTCTCTCTCTCTCTCTTTCTCTCTCCCTTTCTCCCTCTCTTGCAGATATTAATAGTGATATGATTTGGCTTGTGGGTTGGTTGACCTCTTTCATTGGTTCACTTTCAACTTCTTTGCATTCATTTGTTAATTCATTCCTTTATTCATTCATTTGTTACTTTCCTTACCAGTTCTTTAACTTTTTCAATTGCAAATTCCTTCTTTTGTGTGTATTTTTTATGCATTAACCTTTTGTTTTTTCGCAAACACTCAAATGAGATATGCAAAATGGACTAGGGAAGACAATATGGAGGATAGTACACACAAATCTGACATGGGGTCAGAAGATCAGAACAAAGATCGGTTCAGACCTAGATCCCCAATAAAAATAAACAGGTACACGCCTTCAGAGAGAGATAAGATTTATTATAGTTAAAAGTCAAAGATCAACAAAGAGCATAAAGCTCCTTCATTTCTGGGAGATGTGCAAAATGGACCTATCCTATTTTGCATAAATTCAAACACACTATGAATAAGTCAGTTGTCAATTGACAAGTATGGGACAATTACTACAACATTATAGACTGAAAAACAACACAACACTTTGTCAATTTTTTAACACAGTTATTGATTTCTTGTTTTTCACTTATTCATTCATTAACTTCTTTCATGTATTTATTCATTAGCACTTTCTTTCACATGCTTGTTCATTAGGTTTTTTCTTTCACTCGCTCTTTCATTAGCTTCTTTCATTTGTTCATTCATTAGATTCTTCTTTCACACATATGTTCATTTGATTCCTTTTTTTCACTCATTTGTGAGGTCGATTTTTCACTTTCTCATTCATTTCATTCTTTTCATTTGTTCATTCATTAGATTTCAGTTTTTTCCATTAGCCTCTTTCTTTCATTTCATTCATTTCTTTTTTTTTTTTTTTATGTTCATTTGATTCCTAGTTTATCACTCATTTTTCAGTCTTTTTCTCATTCATTCATTGTGCCCTTCTTTCACCTTTGATTTTCAAGTCCTTCTTTCTCATTCATTTCATTTCTGTCCTTTTCACCCTTTTTTTTCATTCATTTTTTTCCTTTTCACCCTCTAACTCATTTGATGCTCTTCTTTCGTTCAGTAAGTCCTTCTTTCATTCATAGGTTCATTTCTGTCTTTTCATTAGGCTTTCATTCATAGGTTCATTTCTGTCCTTTTTCACCCTCTTTCTTTCATTCATTTTTTTTAGCTCCTTTCACTTGTCTTTTTTCATCCATTGATGATGCTCTTCTTTCACCGACCCGTTCTTTCCTTTTCATTTAGGTTCATTTGTGTCTTTTTCCCCATCATTCATTCATTGTGCCCTTCTTTCTAATAATGAGTTTATCAAGTCCTTTTTTTTTTAGGTTCATTTCTGTCCTTTTCACCCTCTTTCTAATTCATTTTTTTAGCTCCTTTCACTTTCTTTTCACCCTAACTCATTGTTTATCAGTAGGTCCTTCTTTCATTCATAGGTTCATTTGTGTCTTTTTCCCCCCACTCATTCATTCATTGTGCCCTTCTTTCACCCACGAGTTTATCAAGTCCTTCTTTCATTCATAGGTTCATTTCTGTCCTTTTCACCCTCTTTCTTTCATTCATTTTTTTTAATTTCACTTGTCCATTTTGCTCTTCTTTCACCACTGCTCGTTCAGTAGGTCCTTCTTTTTTCATTTTTACCCTCTTTCATTTTTTTTTAGCCCCTTTCACTTGTCTTTTCACCCTCTAACTTCTTTGATGATGTTCTTCTTTCATTAGGTTCATTTGTGTCTTTTTCCCCACTCATTCATTCAGGTCTTCTTTCAGTTTTCAATAGGTTCATTTTAGGTTCATTTCTGTCCTTTTTCCCCCCTTTCATTCATTCATTTTTTTTAGCTCCTTTTCACTTGTCTTTTTCTCTTCTTCTTTCACTTCGTTCAGTAGGTCCTTCTTTTATTCATAGTTCCTTCTTTTCCCCCCCATTCATTCATTCATTTCTGCTCTTCTTTCACCCCTAGTTTATCAAGTCCTTCTTTCATTTTTCATTTCTGTCCCTTTCATTTTTTTTTTTTAGCTCCTTTCATTCATTTCTTTTTTAGGTCCTTCTTTTCATTCATAGGTTAATTTGTCTTTTTCACCCTTTCTTTTATTCATTTTTTTTAGCCCCTTTCACTTGTCTTTTCACCCTCTAACTCATTGATGATGCTCTTCTTTTCACCAACGTTCAGTAGGTCCTTTCAATAGGTTCCTTCTTTTTTTCATTCATTCATTGTGTTCAGTTTTCAAGTCCTTCTTTCATTCATAGGTTCATTTCTGTCCTTTTCACCCTCTTTCTTTCATTCATTTTTTTTAGCTCCTTTCACTTGTCTTTTTCACCCTCTAACTCATTGATGATGCTCTTCTTTCACCAACTCGTTCAATAGGTCCTTCTTTCATTCATAGGTTCATTTCTGTCCTTTTCACCCTCTTTTTCATTCATTTTTTTAGCTCCTTTTTTCATGATGCTCTTCTTTCACCAACTCGTTCAATAGGTCCTTCTTTCATTCATAGGTTCATTTCTGTCCTTTTCATCCTCTCACACATTCATTGTGCTCTTCTTTCACCCACTAGTTTATCAAGTCCTTTCATTCTAGATTCATTTGTGTCTTCCCCCCCCCCACTCATTCATTCATTGTGCTCTTCTTTCACCCACTAGTTTATCAAGTCCTTCCTTCATTCATAGGTTCCTTTGTGTCTTTTTCCCCCCCTTTCACTCATTCAGTATGCTCTTATTTCACTCACTCGTTCATTAGCTCTTTTTTAACTTTAATATTTTTTCTTCCATTTACTCATCACATTTATTAACTTCTTCATCTTGTACATTCATTGTCTATTTCTTCTTCTATTGAATATTTCTCTCATTATTTCTTTCTTTTTTTTCTAATATTTTTTACTTTTCTTTTTATAATTTACTCATTCATAAACATTTTCCTTTCTAATTCTGTCATTCTCTTGTTAAATTAATCAAACATATAATTTCCACTACATTTCCTGCCATTTATAGAAAATGGATATCATAATTCTTTAGTTTTGATGGAATTCTTTATCATCAGTCATGATGTGTAAACTTTGCCTTGTGTTTTTTTCAGTTCACACACAAACATAAACATTATATCATCTTTTAATGATTAGAGCAATGAAAATTTTAAGTCTTGACTTGGTTATTTCTTTTGTACTCCACCAAAATTATTTTGATTATGATAAGGTCATATACAGGGTGTTCATAAAGTTTGTGTGCACTTTAAAAGATTTATAACTTTATTTTTATTTGCGATAGAAATAATCTGTAAAAAATGTTATAAAGTTTAATGTACCTAGTTTTAAGTATAGCTAAAATAACTAATGTGATTTCAGGCATTACTGTAAATCAGTTGGCAAATGTTTTCCGTGAACTGCAAAATCGTATTACCCTTTGTATTGCTAATGATGGAGGACATGTGGAAATTTCAATAAAACCTTAAAAAATATAGATTTACTTCTTTCTAATCCTTTTTACAAATTATTTCCATCGCAAATAGAAATAAAGTTATAAATTTTTTAAAGTGCACACGAACTTTATGAACACCCTGTTTGTGTGTGTGTGTGTGTGTGTATATAAATTGCACACTAAACATATGTATGCTTATATTTATTAATATATATTTCTTAGTTCTTTCTAACCATATCGAGCACTATTATGTCTACACCTCTTGGCAAAATTTGGTAATTATTTATTTGCTTACCTGTGTATGCATGCTAGCACGCATGTATACACTTGCTAATATCTAGTTATTTCATTTGCCTGACCACATATATATATTTTAAGACATTTTTTATGTTTATACATTCTTTTTTATAGATACAAATATTTAACTAAATGCTCTGTTTATAATAAACAGTATTAAACAACATTTACCGGCCTGAATGTCTGAGAAATGTTCATAGAAAATGTCTTAAAATAATTGTCGGAATTTGTTGATTTCATAATATATATATATATATATATATATATATATATATATATATAAAAGAAAAACAAAAACGTTGATGGAATGTGCTAAAACCTAAAACTCTTATCCAGATACAGTCTCAAATAAAAATGACAATACTGAAAAAAGAAAACGAAAAAAGGCCTAAAGACAAACTTACCTGCTCAGTAAAGTACTGAAAGCTTAAGATTGCCTAGACTGAGCAAAAAATGCTTAACAACATTAAATCCTATAAAAGGATGGCTCTAGTCGTAACCCGAGACCTTTAGACAACTTGATATATAATCAGTCATGGAGTGTGACTTGGAAACTGGGGTATGCAGTTCATGATGCAGACCAATTGCCAAGGTGGAGAGTTGAGCAGTGGAATCTTACCCTCCACCCCCAAAATTATCCCTCTCCCCCAAATGCACTTCTATGAACAGGCTATACTTCAGGCTTGATACCCCTCTCCACTGGAACTGATGCCACCTTATTAATAATACCCTGGCAATGGTCCTGTCATGATGACCATTATTGGTTATGTGACAAATCTGAGAAAATAATAAAACCTGTAAACACTGAGACATTTAAAATTTATTTGTAAATCAGTTCAATTCTTTGTTTCTATTTGGCAAATTCATTGATCACTTTACTATAAAATGTATCAGCACCACACTCTACCTTCATCATCTTCAAAAGGGCTTGATTTCAATCCATCCAAATCCAATATGTTTTTTATGGACATCCAAAGATGAAAAGGCTACCATTGGGAATTTTTTTTGTAAGCATGAAAAAACTTTGGATTCAACAAATCGGAACTCTCCCATTGTCTTAAATTATTGCTCTACTCATATACATTTATTGTAGGAAGTCATGTTAACCATACCAGCTGCTGTGTCAAATGAGCTACAAGAACTCTTCTGGATGAAAGGTGTTTGAATATAAGCATATAAATATAAATTGCATATTGACTTTACCGCTTGACCCAGATATTGAATTCACAACTACCAGGTAACTAGTAATAGATGACTAACATTATCCCGTATGACCATCAAGTGGTAGTAATTTTGGAGCTTTAAACTTAATGTCTGTTTTTTTCCTGGTCCTTATTTTCTGGTTCAGTGGAGCAAGCAGACACAACATCACAAAGATGAATTAACTAATGAGTTATCTCCCTTTACATGAGAAGAATGGGGAAAATCTAGCTTCTTGGATTAAATGGTTTTGGAATTGGTTCAAAATTGTGTAAATGTTAACATATGATATATGATAAGCATTAGAAGAAGGCTGGAGAGTCCTAAAATATTGTCTATAACAACCAAGATGAGGATAATAGTTTCAATAAATCAGTGTATAATAATAATGATAATAATAATACCTCATCTGAGAAATAACGTGACTATAACAACCAAGATGAAGATGACAGTTTGAATAAATCAGTGTATAATAATAATTCCTCATCTTAGAAATATCAGAAATGTATTTTTTGGGATGTTGTCTTGGTGGAAACCTAATTAATACTGATTTTCCTAGAAACCTATAATTAAATAATAATTGCTATTTAATGGGTTAAATGCTAATCAGGGACAATTATAAATAAAATAATATAAATTATTTTTTATGCTTCAGATTGATAATTCTGTGGTATATGCACATCATACAGACACAAAAGAGGCTTTGTATTGCATGTGGACATGTTTGTCAACAGCAGTTACATCTGTGTTTTTCCTGTTAGCAGCTGGACAGCTTGGCATGTCTAGATACAAGCCTCTCTGCCACTGCTCAAGATCTGGGTGTTTGTAAGATGCCTCAGGCTAATAAAAGCTGGGGGTAAAACACAGTTGGCAGTTGGTAAGACACAGTGTCTTGTGAAGTCAGTCCCATGGGTATTTTGTTTCTGAAACAGTGTTATTTTTTGTTACCTCCCATCTCTTTCCCCTCTCTCCCTATTATCCCTGTAGTTATTAGGTGGGCAATGGGTAAGGTGCTCCATCACTTCCAATTTCAACAGACACTTTGCTTATTTTGGCACTCATGGCTTATAGCAAGTTCAACCTGAAGCTAAACTCTGAATTTTATGGTTCAGACTGTTAAATGATTTGAAAAGGCTGAACTAGTCTGTGATGTGTGCGGCATGAAGAACATTGCTAGCATTCTGCTGCTTTGAATGACAGGAGGTGTATTTGCTGTGTCCCAACAACTCGGCAAGGAAGAAAGAAAAGATATAAGCTGTATCAGTGATGCCCTGTATGTTGTCTTTACTACAAATTCATTCGTAGCATATGGCCCATTTGTTATTTATCAATAGATGTTTTATAGAGTTAGAATGATGTTTACCAGCTATTTTCCTTCTCATATCCCATACAGATTTTGTTTTTGTGGTAGAATTAAGTCTGCTGATCTAGTTTTTCCAACAATATTTTTTGCTTTCTTTAATTATTTTCCATCCATTTGCTCAAAGTTGCTTAAATTGTAATAAATTAGAGGTTGAAGGTCTGTTATGATTTTTTTGTACTGAACTTTTTGGAATGCATTCCTTTGCAATAGATATAAAGATTTCCATAAACTGCATTAAGTCCTTGAAACATTTACCTTCAGTCAGTTTATCAGAACATTGGTTTTAAAATTCGTCTCAGTTTGTGTTATAGTGGAACACACCTATTCTATAGTTAATAGACCCTCCCACCTATAATAAGTAGGAGTAGTAAGAGTAACGACTCAGTCGCTAAGTCGCTCAGTGAGTCGGTCAGTCAGTTGATGCCGGACGACCGTTAGTCGGATACTAAAGTATCAGCGACCACAACTAGATTTCTCTGTGTCATATCTATTATATGAAGTCCCTAACGTTATGTACGTCGAACCTATTTTAGGACCGACTTAGTACAAATACAAGCCTCGACTGTGAAATCACTCCATAACAGTTTGCTCAGCCTAATTTCCAACGGAGACGTTTTTTATCATTATGTTCTGAATTTTGCAGAACAATTAGGAAGTGGTCACTACCACATGTGTCCACCAGAACCTTCCAAGAGAAATCCATATAGATTAATGGATCATATATGGATAAATCTATTGCAGAGCAGCTTCCAGTAAATAGTTCAGAGTTTTATTGTTATAAATCATTGTTGCTTATAATTTTTTCTAAAGTCCTTCTCTTTTGGTTTGTGTCTTTACAGTTGTATATGGTGCTGTGACAGTTCAAGTTCCTTACTATCATAAAGGGTGCAGAGAGTTGCCTTATAATTTCAGCTTCATTTACTCATTCATTAGGTGGGATATATACCAAGCAAATGTTTATTGGCCTATATAGGGTCACTTTAACAGCAGTCACCTGTAATATAGTTGTCAAATTCATTTTACTTTGGGGTACATCATTCCTAACTAGATTTAATGCCTAATGCAGTGCTTTTCAACCTTTTTGCTGGAGTGGAACCCCATGGAAACATTCCACTGGCTCGAGGAACCCCTGTGCAATAATTTGGTTGTCTTATGCAAAAAACAGCATTTAATTAATTATACAAAAAAATGCAATTTGTAATAAAATGAAAATATTCATGTTCAGAGTATTGTAAATGAAATGAAAACAAAAGTGTACATGTTTGAATAGATTACATTTATTCTTAAAAAAAAAAGTCAATGGGAAACTTGAGCCTAGTGTTTTTGCACAACTCTTTAAGATTGGGTCGTGTTTTTGACAGACACACAC